TCACGACAAATGGCGTTGAAAACTCAGTCTCCTTTCACTGCCTCGCATTTTTCTTTTTGCTCTGGATGCTAAAAAGTACTTTTACTACATTCCCAGTGTCCTCTCAGGTGTTCTGGTGTTTAGAACATACCACTAACTGTTTTATTTTTTCCAAATTAGAGGTGAAATACCCAAAGCCACTCCAATCTTTGCTTTCCATGAATCAAGTAAACATTTAAACGATAAAATTCTCATTAAAATGAAAAATTCCTCAGTCCATTTGAATAACTTTCGATTCTAATTCGTTACATTAACTAATTTTGGTTCCAACTTGTAGAACCTGCGAAACAGGTTGTATGACAAAGAGAAAAGTTTGCACAATCACGTCACGCATATATCAAGCTGGGTTTGTCCAGTTGATTTTGATGGTCGCAAGAAAATGTCGAGTTTGTCGCTAAAAAACCGTTGTGGTCCATAAGAGCGTAACATCATTAATGACGGAAACAAATTTGCAGAAAAGAGGGTTAGTTCATCGGGTTCCGTGTACTAAATCTCGGGAGAAACTGCAAGAATTGTTTCAGAGTGTATGCGTGTTGTTTTGTAAATATAAACACTGTAACCCATTTTAACTTGTTTTTGTGTCCTTTAAAGCAACGTGATATGTCAGTTATGACGAGAGTGTCAAATTTTATTCTTTAACTTTGATCTTCCTCACACTGTGCGTAGTTCATGACCTGATATTTCAACGTAAATTATCGAGAGGGCGCCTTCCGATCACCTTTGTCTACTTTGTAAGTCACGCAAGCGCGCAAGCGTTACGACCGATCACGTTTACGCAACGTTTTAGGACAACTAGGCTCCTAATCTCCATTCAGTTGCTGTAAAAACCTAAAATCCTCAACGTAGAAGATAAACGAACGAAGTTTTAATGGTCAAAAGGAGATCCTGGCCAATTCTAAGAATCATACAAATGATCTTTGACACGAGCACAATTGAGCAAACACATGGATTTGCGTTGTTTTTAAGAAGTTGGTGGATGGAAGCTAGAGATATACCCGCGGGTTTGAGACAATCTGTGACCTCATTGGTGTACTGATATACTTTTTCAGCCCGATTAACGCCTGCATTTTGAGAATTCTTTCGTACAAAGTAGTGAATTTTTGATATGCAAATTAAGGTCGAAGAGAAGGGTCTCCTCTGATCACGCTGGTATGAAAAGTATTTCAGCTGAAGTTTCCATATTTTGTCTGCGAACTAACTGAATACACCTTGTAACTTGTAACAAGATAGAATTCCGTGAGCTACATTGTTGCAGTCGCTGCGCGCTGGACAAAATCTTTGAAATTTACACTTTCGATCGCTGTCCACAGGGGTGGTCTGGCCAAAAATCATTCTTGGCTTGTGGCGACGCAAAAAAAGAGAATTGGAGAACAACTAAACTATTTTTGAAACATGTGTCCTAAAACCTTTTCATGGGCAAAAAATAAAAGAAAACTTTTTTGTGACGAGAAGACGAGAGGACCGCTCTTAGCGGGAGCGGCACTTAAGTTCACCCAACTTGAAATGAAAGAGGACAACGCTTTTCTCTTCTTTTTTTTTTTTTTCATCGAATAAGTGATTTACAATTCTACTAGGATTTAATTATCTTGTACACTAACGTCTTGTTTTTGACATACACCCTACGGCATCATCACAGATTCTTACCGATCTCATAAAGTGTACGAGTGACGGAAACAATACCAACAAGATCTTTTTGATATCAGTGATGACGACCAAATGACTTGATCCATTAAAAAGTTCTTCCTTTAGAAAATTTTGAAAAATCAAAGTTTAAATCTTTTATTTCGTCCGTATTTTTGCCCTACTCTACGGTCAATACTATATCATATTTTACGCGTTCTGTTGCCCTTGAATGGCAAAATGGCTTTTCATAACTTATATACATATAAGTTTATTATATTTGTCAACAATTTTCATTTTCTCAGGCTACTATATGTACATCGAAGCGACCTATCAAAATGATGGCGATAACGCCAAGTTGAAGCTTTATTTAAACGGAAACGGAGAAGTCTCTTGCCTTGGGTTCTATTATCACATGTATGGAGATACTATTGGGGCACTCAATGTCTACAGTGAAAATCATTTAATATTCAGCTCTACTGGAAATCATGGAAACCTTTGGATAAAGGCGGAAAGGACAATTTATTTAGATACAACAGTAAGTCTTATTGGAAGAAATCATCTCGGAAAATGGAAACATATTTTTTCAATGAGATCGATCGCGAGTAGTAAAGTGAAAATTATGATAAGATTGACCCTAATAATTATGGGCAAGTATGATTTTATACGAAAAATAAATCCAAGTAACAGAAAACACACACTTACCAAATTCATCAACAACAATTTTCGAGAAAAATTTTCCTTATTTTCTGACAATATTGATTTAAATCTATCTCCATTAAAAATTTGGCAACTGGTGTGGTGTTATCTTTCTCTCTAACCTCCACATCTAAATAAATTCATCATAAAAATCTTTTTGCAGTTGACATTTGAAGGAATAGTAGGATATTCCTTCACCGGTGACATAGCTATTGATGACGTCACCGTATCCAGAGGGAGCTGCTCAGGACAAACTCCGCCTCCAACATGGTATCCAGTTCCGACAACCCTTAAGCCTTCTTCAAAACCTACCAATTCCAGCAGCGTGACCACTATTCACACCCAAAAACCGTCCATACCGCCTTCAACATGGTATCCAGTTCCGACAACCCTTAAGCCTTCTTCAAAACCTATCAGTTCCAGCGATGTGACCACTATTTACACCCACAAACCGTCCATAGCGCCTCCAACATGGTATCCAGTTCCGACAACCTTTAAGCCGTCTTCAAAACCTGTCAATTCCAGCAATGTGACAACTATTCACACCCAAAAACCGTCCATACCGCCTTCAACATGGTATCCAGTTCCGACAACCCTTAAGCCTTCTTCAAAACCTATCAGTTCCAACAATGTGACCACTATTTACACCCACAAACCGTCCATACCAGGTACTTAAATTGCAGAGATAGAGAACTTAACTCGTACCTCTCCCGTGAGGCTTTTGATATTTTGCAACGGTAATCTCGTCCTTTTGCTTGTTTGCTAAATATAGTTGTATCTTAGCCTTTTCTCCTAGTGTTTCAAAACATTTATCTTTCACTCTTTATTCCATTCACAATTTCTCAATTCAACAGCTAAGTATATACTGTCGTACCGGTTGTTGCTATTGCTGCCACATTGGCGTGACTGATTCTCTTTGGGGCAATACATACTAAGCTTTGTTCTTGACCTGAATGAACGAATGGAAACTTCATGCATCCACGATATCCATCAGAAATGAGAAGTGCTCTTCCACGGAGCCGTGCACTACAACAACGATCAACGATTGATAAAATGGTGCTGTAATTATAATTACTCAAAGAGTGCATATATTCAACAAATTATCATTAAAATACCTTACAATAAATCATATTTTAATGCATTAATGCATTAATGCATTATCTTAATCTAACATGCAATGATGTCAAATCGTTGTCAACATGTAATTTTTTTCGGAAACACGATTCCTTACTTCTCTCTGTCCTTTCTACACAGTCCATATAGTATGTTCTGACAAGCCTGAGCTCCCCATATGTTCCCAACTTCCTACATATGGAAATTTCTGTACAGAATATTTCAACTGGTCTGTCAAGCACTGCCCTAAATCATGTGGATTTTGTGGAGGTACGGTTGTGGAGACATTTTCTTTTCTCGTTTATTTATTTATTTTTTATTATTTTCTAATTTATTCTCTGTTTGCACCTATGGATAAATGTTACCAACGCATACCCTTTCAAAAACAAACAAATTCGTTAAATCTTGTTTTAAAAACGTTACTGTGTTCATCACCGGGACATCTTGAAACGTGTCGCCACGAAAACGTTTTTTAAACCAGTGAAAAGCACTATTAGTTTTTCCGTCGATAGAAATGACTCAAAAATAAGCTAAATGACCACCTCTTATCAAGGGATTATAAACTGATTAGTTTATTATCTCTTTCTCTCGTATAATTAGAGAATGTTGGACACTACTATAACTTTAACCATCTTTAAGGGACGATCATAACTCCTCCAAAAGACTTTAAAGAAAAGTTCACGTAGAATAATGTTTTGCTAAGGAAAAAACTCATAAAACCAGAATATTGTAACTTGTGACTTTATTTTTTAATATTGTCAACAAGTACCAATTGGAATTAACGGTAAATCCTATGTTTCTTTTTAATGATTACAAAACATTGTCAAAACTTCTTTAGATACAAGTGGAGGTAAATAAATTTTACTGTATTTGCGCAATATAATTATCTGATACGTATTGGTCTGAGTTCATAGTCTTGGAGACTTAAGTTCATTATTTTATGTGAAAAAAGTCCAATATGTGTGAACTGCACTCTTATTTACATGTCAGATATGTCCCTTTGTCTTTCTGTCAAATTTTCAATTTTTGACCCATTTATGTATTACCGTTGTGCTTTTGTTATCGGGATTGTTTCTTATTAAACAAAACGCATTTTACACATTACTTGACAATAGAATATAGAAATATCAAATACGCTGAGAAAGCTAATCTTGAACCTATATAAGAGGTAGGGCACGCTATTCTACAAATTCACAACGTATATTCAATTTCAGCACCATGTTTTGTCCTATCTTTTTGCGATTCTAGATGATTCTCCAACAACCAAGGGGATTTTTACGTCGACCCACGTGGTGACTTTCAAGCCGACTACTATTCATCGCATTCCATCAGCAAAGGAAATGCAAGAGGCAGTAATGCTAAAAATGAAAAATTTCGAAATGAAGAAGGTGATTTTTAGTTGTTATGTATTTATTTAGCGAAGAGGAAGAAAACTGCCCTACACATTCATCATATAATATATTATTTAACACCACAACAATTTTCACTGTAGCCTGAGTTGAATCAACCGAGGCTAATCCCATCTGTTGTTTTCTTAGAAATATTCCCTTTTCTGTTTTTTATCTGTCCATCATAGTGGAAGGAAATGGAAGCGGACTTTAAACGAGAAATTACAAGTGCAGCTAATAAATATTGTGCAGATGGAGGAGCATCCTGTCGAACAAGGTAAACCAATCATCAATCTTGAAAAAGGCAGTTAGCAAACTAAACGAAGAACAAAGCAAACTTAATGCAAAGGGACGAACGTGGAAATCAGTGATAATTATACTTATTAGATGGCCAAAGCTAATGGCTGTTATAAAGCGCACTCTGATTGACTATAATGGAATTAATACAGCATTAAGCCCTGGTAGCACTCACGGCTCTACTATGGACAACGCATATTAGGAAGAACGAGATAGGATATCTCAGGACCGCGTTTTTTTCCTGGCAATCCGCGGGGAAGGAAACGATGAAGGTGCATAACACCCAGAGGATAGAGAACAGAAAAAATACAATGTGAGATAAAACTATCAAAGAAACAGGTAAAGAAACTAGCAAACAACTTAGAATATATATTAAAGAAGGAAAAGAGGTAACAGTTTGTAAGGAGGACTTAATAACATTTCAAAGAAGTGTAGCCTCCAGATACATAGGAAGGTAGAAGTTTTGGACTTAGCAGTTCTTAATCTCCATTTTTCGCAGCCTCGATTCTTGAGAATTGGACGAAATTTTTCTTGTCACTTTGTGATACCACCATACTGAAATAAAAATGATGACAACAATAATAGTAATAATGATTATTTACTTGTGGAAGGTCACATATACTTTTTGATCCATTTCAGTCTTCGTCGGAGACGATCATCCGATAGCATGAAATTTTCAGCCGATATGGTTCAGATTGTCCCTGGTTACCCAATGCCGTCACCGGATGATCCCAGCATAACGTTGTTGGCATTCTACCTAAAGCTTCCTGGAGGTGTCGGAGACAACGTGGTCAGCGAAAATGTCCTGAAAAACATCGTGAAAAGCGATATGAAATCTATTGAAGGGTCGATGGGTGTGAGCATCACAACTGTTCAGTCAATGCCAACCACTCCGCCTCGGATTGATGTAGATCAAGAAGATGAGACAGATGACGAAGGATCAATCTCAACCTCGGTTATCGTGGGTGTGGCCCTTGGATCCCTGTTCTTGCTGGGGATTATCATTGCTGTCACCTTGTTTATCAAATCTACCAGGTACAAGAATCTCTTTTAAAGTTCAAAAAGGAGCAGATGAATTATCATATCGCTATGTCATAGGGGTTTGTCAAATAAAGTGATGCCGCCTCAATCCCAAAGGGACTGTAGGCCCCTCAACGAGCTGAGAAAGGGGTTGTGGGAAAAGGAGAGATCAGGAAGAGGGAGCAGGTCATCAATCTTTATTTGTATGAAAATATGAAGGTTATAAAAAAAATAAATCAGAAGTTGAAATAGTAGCTTAGTTGGGCTGAGTTGGCATTCGGTTCTCTTGACATGCTTTCGATTTCACATATATTTTAAATAGGTATCATGTGATCTTTACTACCCTTATAGGGATTTCATTTGGTTTCCACCTTAGGTTCGGCCCCAAATGCCGTGCGCTGTCCACCGACAAGGTCAATCAAGGAATTGATGTGACTCAAGAAGCTTTGCATGGGAATGCAGATAAGCATGGTGTGACTTTCAGTAAACCAAGAGGTATTGCTTACGACAATAGTGCATACGTGTCCGTAGAGCAAGCCACTGCATCAGCGCGGCAGGGTGGAATAATTCCTATCAAATTCTAACGAAGAGATGCCGCCAAACGAAATGTGAACTGCTGAACTGTATGAAAAGGAAGCTGGCCCTTGCTCTCAGGGAAAATTTTGTCTTTTTACCATTTTTTTAGTTTCTTTGTTGACCATGCGTAGCTGAATGGTAGTGGAGAAGTTCCTCATTTTATTTTTCATGAGCTGGGCCTAAGGATTGAAAAAGCTACTTTTTCCTTTTTCAAGAAACAGGCAAAGTTAAGGCTTGGTTGTTATTTTTTTAAACGAGAGCATTTTGCTCTTCCATTCCGGGGAAGAAGGCATGCAACCGCAGCGGGTAAGAAAGACTTCTTTCGCCTGCTCGGCCAATCAATCAGAAAGTAGGAATCGCTTTATCTTTCCTGCTCACGGAACCAGTATAAAGAGGGACATTAGACAACCTTTGTAGGTGCTTCATAAACATTAAAAAAAAAAAATTCGGACTATTGTTCTTAATTGTATAGGATAATATTTGTCTTTATCTCGCCCTTAATTATCTATGTCTGCAGCTTTGCAAATTTTGGTGATAAACCATGGCATTAGCGTAGTCTAGGTTTTGAGACTAGGAACAACAATAATACAAACAGTGTTAAAATTTGTTCATGAAATGATAATAAAAGCCTTAGAAGTTACTTACTAGTTCGACGCGTAAATTTCCTTTGCTGATGAAAGATTTGTAGCTGAAAGAAAAAAAAAGGCACAATGATTACTTTTGGCTCATCCACAATCGTTGAAATATAGTTAGGCAAGAAATCAAAGAAAAAAGGGAATACATTTGTTGCTTGTCCTGAAACCTCAAACGCTTTTTCCCTTTTATTGAAAATAATTAACGGTGCTGTTCAACAACTGTCTCTTCCTAGTAGTAACCGTCATCGTAATCCTTATGAATGGCAGGGAGGAGGACCTGAATCCGGGACTGCCGGATTAAAAGTCCAGTACCCTAACCACTCGGCCATGGACGAAGATGGCATTCGTGTTACATAAAACCACGCCTCAAACCTTGGCAGCTCTTTCGTTCTCTTTGGTATCCATGTTTACAAATGCATTTGAAAGAGCCATCGGTATTAATACAATCAGCATGAACATCACAGTCGTGTACTCTAGAATAGTATTCGTCCACATCTTAAAAGAGGAATGTAATGAAACCTTAAATAGGCGGACTAATTTTTCCACTTTGATCTCGCATTCGACTAGAACGAACCTATATCTAGTGGACCACTCTATTGAGTAGACACTGCAGCGATTACTTTGGCGAGCACCCACGAAAAGTTTCCCTGGCCGCTCACCATTTAAAAATGTATTGTTACGTTTGTTACACAAGTCTGTTATGTATATGAAACAGGCACGTGACAACTCAATCTGGAAAAGCTCATGTCTTTTACGTTGAAATTTTATGCTCTCTATTTGATGAACATTTTTACTTGCATGCGACGAACCAAACCGAACTTCTTCCTGATCGATATTTTAGTCGATCACAAAAAATACCGAAATTATCAACATATCGTTAAGATCTTTTCACGATCTATAACGAACAAAAACAAATAAAGAGTGAATTATAACTTAGAAAGGAATAGAATTCATATCGGAATAGGTTTACCTTCTATAAGTTGCGATTGTACTTAACGAAATGTCGCATACGAGATATTCCAAGTGATCCCTAATTCACACGCAATATTCCTGGACTCAGGCTGAGGTTATAGCTGAATGCTCACCTTTCCTGCAGTTTAGCCCAGTGTATCCCTCAGGGAACAAACAGCGATATTCTCTCTCTGTAAATCCAGTTTGACAGGTGGCATTATTACTACAAGGGCTACTAGAGCATCTGCTCTGTATAAGGGAAGATAAAAAATAATTAAAAAATTAGGGGTGTTTACTAATCAGTTGCGATGTCTTCAATTATATCTAACAACCAGTGGGATTTAGATCGTCTTTTTCTAGAGTGAATGCATAAAAACTTTTTAAAAAATTTAGAAGAGTCTCCCCGCCCCAATTATGCATCATTGCTACCGTTAATACTTAAAACCGCTGGCGAAACATATATCTCTGTTCCATGGGCCATGTTCTTAACCTTGAAATGGGATGAATTCGATCCATTAAGTTAGTTTCTAGATTTAGAAGTTGTCCTTTACGATAATGATTGACAATGGTTAGTTGACAAAAAAATTGGAAGGAACAGAAGAAATCATGTTGCAAGTTTGGCTTATAAGCTCAGAATTTGCCTGTTGTAGAAAGTCTTCGTAAACGTTAATCTTAAACGTTAATCTTCAAAAGAGAAGACCTCAGCAGCCTGGTATACGTAGTCCGTGTCTGTCTTCAGGTCTCTTTCGTGCCCTTCATGTGTAGCATTATTTAATTCGCATCTTTGCTTGTCACTATCACTTCTGGTCATAATGTTATAACTGAAACAGTTGTTTTCTATGAAGCACTGCATCTCGCATATTTCTTGGTCCTCTACGTCAGCGATACGTAAGACGTGATTCGTGAGGCGTTTGCCCTTGTACCTTCTGGTCGCTGTAAACTCCAAATTGCGACATGGCTCTGAGGAAGGATATTGAAGGAGCGAATAAAGTTTTAGGGAAGCAATCACTTGAGATGATATTTTCGTGGATATGCTAACCACACACGAAGCGAGTATGCAGTTAGGACAGATCACACAAAATCACTCATTACAAAAAACTTATTTAAACCGACCAGTAGTATTTTGACATAAATTTTCCTTCAGCAGTAGTTTGAATTTTTTTTCTGCCAGAGTTTACACGCCAATTCTCCTACCAAACTATGGGTAAAAAAAAACTAAACAAAACAAAACAAATTGATAACTGAAATTCGCAGGAATACCCCAATTCCGAATAGTTTTTTTTGATGTGAAAAGAATCTGATTTTTTACAAATTCGTGTTTGTCTTTTTTTTCCTTGAAGATTTCAGGCGAACAATTTTTTTATTCCGGGTCAATGTTAAAACTCAGCATTCCTAGAGAAATGTTCCGTAGTTTTGCAACATTTTGTGCTGGAGACATCTTCCAAACGGATCGTTATTATTGTATGGTATCGAGTTTGATATGACCAATTTTCCCCGCTTACATTGGTCGCGCGATATCATTTAGGACAGAACTTACTTACTGACTGGATTTCATCAAATTTTTAACTGTTATGGTTGTCTATAAAAAAAAAATTTAATTAGCTACAATAAAGCTCCTTTCTGTTGATTGATTAGCTGAGTTGTCGTCGTCGATTTTTCGATCTTGCATAGTTAACACAAAATAATCAATTTTAAACCTGTGAAGCCATTCGTTCTTGGTATTAAAGGTAAACAAAGTAATAGAGAACATAATCCGCGCTGGAAATACATGACTCATACAGAGGGAAGAAAAGACACGATTCCAGCACAAGTCTCAGACAAGCTTTTCCCCGTGTGGTTATAACTGATAACAGATGATTTGAAAATTTGTTGTTGTTGTTGTTTTTTTTTTAATCTTCCCTTTCAGTCTAGCTGCACAGTATGGATTCGTTATTAACGAACTCTTTTCTGGGCAAAGCTTTTTGGAGGTTTTGGTATTGGGAACTATTGGGTTGATTGAACTTTAAAAATCGGTTATGAGTTAAGGTAGAGTCCTCTTATATCACGTAAATAGCAGAGACAGATGTATCTTCTGTTTTCCTGCTCAGTATTTTTTTTATTCTCTTAAAACTTAATTTATTCTCTATCAATACGTCATTTTTTTTTCTGTTTACTTTCATCACTTCTTAGATTTGGTTTCTATCATTGTAATAATAAAGAATGATATTCCTTTCTCTGCAAGAGATTCTTTCGTTTATTAGTGACTCTGAGCACCAAGGCTCTTCCCTGGCATTGTTTAGCAGAATGAGTTGACCCATCGAGGCTGAAAAATAACATTCTAAATTATTGGTGAAATCGTGAACCTTTCAAAAATTTAATCCTTCAAAAGCTTTCTTGATAACTAATAACGTCTTGCTGGAGCCTTCAGCAAATTTTACCCTATATCTTTAATAACACTGAGGAATAAAATACGAGTTCAAACTTGGGAAAACACAGAAATTTGGGTAGTGCTGAGTCCAGGTTGTTATTGTATATGCTTTACTCCCAGTAGGGAAGTAAATGAGAAGAACACAAAAGTGTAAGATATAAATAGTTTCAGAGTAGGTACACAGTTTAACCCGTGGATCGAAAAACGCCTATCTTTTGGGAACCTGACGTAAGACGGAAACCATGCATTTTGGGACCGCCCCAGGCTTAATAGTGCAAACTGTTTTAATATTCATGTTGATGGCAAACCAACTGACAGGGTTCACGAGTTTACTTACTTAGGCGTGGTATTTGATGGTCACCTTTGTTGGAACAGTCATGCAAAGTAAATGATTTTAAGGCGGGTAAGCGCATAGGTATGTTAGTCCGTGTTCCCTCGGTTACTTGACGACTCAGAGTGCCAATGCTGTTTACATCTGGAGACAAAAACCAATTCTAGATTACAGTGATACAGTGTGGGGTTTCTTCGGTTAGGAAAGAGCTAGGCATTGGAGGCTTTGCATAAGAGGGTAGTTGGAACTGTTACTAGAACAATTCGCAGCAGCCTTGCCACGGAGATTCTCAGGTGGCCTGCGATGGAAGGAAGACGCCAGGAGCATATTTTCAGCCTGTAAAGAAATGTATTTTAGGGCGTTTTCTCTAGATATGTTAAGAACTATTTTACTTTTAACAATAAGATTCACACGCGTGTAACCAGACAGCATGTTCTGCTACAATTGCCTGCTGTCAAAATGGAAATTGGAGAGAGATATTTTTATTACCAGGGATGCATTGCTTTAAAGAATGTTTCTGTACTACGATATATTGTGTTAACATTAAATTAATGCATACAATTTTAATTTCACGTTCATGCAAACATTGATATTATGAAACTTTCGCTCAGGGCTCCTGTCAATAACTCCTATCAATTGCTTTCAAGCATCTGAAAGGACCATCCTGCCACTAAAATTAAACAA